TCTGGGCCTCTTTTGCGACGCTGCGCTGGTGACGAGGCGCTGCTAGTCTGGGCCTCTCACGAGGCTGCGCTGCTCGAAGCGCTGCTACATGACCTCGCGCATTGCCGCTGCAGTGCTGCTTCAGATGTCCGCGGCCGCAGCGTTCGACGTCGCCGTCGTCACGGGCGCCGGCTCCGGCATTGGCCGCGCCACGGCGGTAGAGATCTGCCGGCGCGGCGTGCGCGTCGTCGGCGTCGGCCGGCGCGCGGCGGCGCTCGCGGAGACGCGCACCGTGTGCGGCGACGGCTTCACGGCCGTCGCCGCGGACGTCGGCACGGAGGACGGCCGCGCCGCCGTCGCGGCGGCCGCGCGCGCTTCGACCCCGCGGAAGACCGTCGTCGTCCACAACGCGGCCGCGGTCGGCGAGACGGCGCCGCTCGGCGCGCTCACGCTCGGCGGCTGGCGCGCGGCCATGGCGACGAACGTCGAGGGCCCGCTGTTCCTCACGCAGGCGCTCCTGCCGGGCCTCGGCGCCGGGTCGCGCGTGCTGCACGTGTCGTCGGGCGCCGCGCACGGCGGCGCCGAGGGCCTCGCGGCCTACTGCGCGTCCAAGGCGGCGCTCAAGTCCGTCTACGAGTCCCTGCGCGGCGAGCTCGGCCCGGCCGTGCTCGTGGGCAGCGCCATGCCCGGCGTCGCGGACACGCCCATGCAGCGGGCGCTCGTCGCCGAATTGCCGGCCGCGCACGCGATGCGGCCCTACTTCGAGGGCCTGCGCGCGGAGAAAGCGCCGGCGGGCGGCGCGGGCCGGCCGCCGCCCGCCGCGGGCCTCGACGCGCCCGAAAACGTCGCCGCGTTCTTCGCGTGGCTCCTCTTCGACTGCCCGGCGGACGAGTTCGTTTCGAAGGACTGGGACATCCAGGACGCGGCGCACCACGCGCGCTGGGCGTCGTAAAGGCCACAGCGGGGGTCCGGGGAAGGTCACAACAGGGGTCCGTTAGACGCTCGCGAGGTGGACGAGGGACGCCGCGTCGCGCTGGGGCAGCCCGACGTCGACGAGGTCCTGGACCGTGAGGAAGGAGAGGTCCTCGAGCGTCTCGATCTCCTCGCCGCGGAGGAGCGCGAGGTGCCGGCCCATGCCCACGCGGCCGAGGAAGCCCGCGAGGGACGCCGGCCCCCGTGGCCCTCCGTGAGCCGGTAGAGGCACTGCGTGACGAGCTTCTTGACGCGGCGCCGCGGCGCCGCGGCGCGTCGCGGCCTCGAGCGCCGCCTTCTGCCGCCGCACGTAGGCCTGCTCCTTCTCGTCGATGGACGCGGCGATGGCCCGCGCGATCTCCGCGTCGACGTCGTCGGGGGGGCGCGGCGGCGGCGCCGTCTCCCGCGCGCTCGCCGCGAGCGCGCGCCGGAGGTCGTCGTCGTCGTCGTCGCGGCGCGGCGGCGGCGGCGGCGCGGCGCGCGCGCTCTCGGCGAGGGCCCGCCGCAGTTCCGCGTCGTCGTCGTTCTCGCGCGCGCGCGACCGGAGCGCCTCGCCGGAGCTCGCCGCGAGGGCCTGGCGCAGCGCGGCGTCCTCGGCCGACGGCGCGCCGCCGCGACGCGACAGCTCGTACTCCGCCGCGGACGCCATGAGCGCGAGCGTCAGCGCGTCGCCCGCCGGCGGCGGCGCGCGCCGGGGCGGCGGCTGCGCTCGCCGGGGCGGCGGCGGCGCTCGCCGGGGCGGCGGCGGCGCTCGCGGCGGCGACTCGGCCCGCGGCGGCTCGGCCC